GTGGGATGAAGATCGAGTTTCGACACCGTTGATTTTGGAGGTTTCATCTCATTTCTTCTTCAAAACTTGAGGTAGGGATTTTCTTAGACTTATATATATATTTTTGCAAGATCTATATGATTTTTGAAATCATCTTTCGATGGCTTTAAAAATTGATTGTTGATCTAAGAAGTTGAGCGATTTTGAAAGTGGGTTTGTCTCTTGTTCTTTTAAAATGATCTTATGGGTTTTGATTTTCATTGATTGAAGAAAAGATAATTTTGGAAAGTTTTCTTTCAAAAGATTTGAGTTGTATAGTTTTGGTGAGAAAACCTAGAATTTGGGGATTTTTTTGTTAAGGAGACTGAAAATCCATGAATGATGTTGTTATATTTATTTTGTGTGTCAAAATAAATGAATGTTTGGAAATTTTCTTATTTATATTTATATAAATGATGAATTTCAGGGAATATGAGAATTGTTGTTCATTTTGGAAATTATTGTTCAAAACGTTGAAATAGTCTTGAAAAAACTAATTGTTGAGAATACTTGAGAAGAGGAAATTGTGTTATTCCGTGGATGATGAATTGGAATAAAAGTATTTATATTCATCTTGTGAAATTGGCATATTAATTCATTTGATTACATTAAACTTTTAAAGTTGATTTGAAAACTTGCATTGAGAAAAGAATGTTGAGAAACAAGTTTTCATGGAATGGTTTTGGGGTAAATACGTTGGTAAATCTTGATAGGTGGTGTAGATGATATTGAATAAGTTGGCCTGAAAGTTGGGGTGAAAGACCGAAAACCCGCACGCATAGATGTCGAGCCTTCCGGTTAATACCGGTAAAAATGACAATTTGATAGTACTTGTATAGTCTACTTGCAGACATCGACCTAGGGATTACGAGAGTCGTATTTACCGCCCTTAAAATAAATTGTTAAGTTTTGAACAATTGAAATTGCATGACGTCATTGAGCATAATGGTTTTCAAAAGATGAAAATGTAATTTATCTTCAAAAAGGGCATAGCATGGCATGTGCATTTCATCTTTTGAGACTTGTATAAAATGTATATACTTTGTCAAGAATTTCCTACTGGGCTTTATGCTCACCCTACGGGATTTTTGGTACGAAAAGATGTGGTGATCCCACCCAACTAGGGCGTGGATGTGAGAACCCGAATATAAAAAATTAAGTAAATAATTAAATAATAATAATATTACAATCTCAAATATTTGGTGGTGAATCCTAAAGTGCAAATTAAATATTTGGAAGGCCTTTTAATTAATTTTAAAACCTAAAATACATTTATGGTGAAAGTCTTTAATTAGAAGCAAGATTTAATTATTTAAAAAAAATAGGGGCAAATTAGTAAGCATATTTTGATCTAATAATAGTTGTGTTTTATTTTAAATTAATGGAGAGAAAATAAAAATTATAAGAGATAATAATTTAAACATTTTGTTTGATATATAAAAAACAACCCTAGTTTTCCTAACAAAAGCCCTAACCTTTATTATAATGTTTTCCACAGCACTTTCAACATATAGCAGCCACGGAGAGGGAGAGAGAGAGAGAGAGAGAGAAGAAGAAGAAAAAAAAAACAAGAAGCTGCAATCAAAGAAACTTTGGGTGTGTGGTAGGTTTCTAGCTTTCTCTTTATTTTATTTTGTTCTTTATCCTTATTCTATTTTATGGTTAATTCATTGATGAGGGTGTAGGTTTATGTATTTTGTATATATATATATACTATTAAGAAATCTGAGGAGTTAAATTCATGTATAAAGAATGGTACATTCTTAGTCCAAAAATTCTGTACAGAATCACAAACCTTAAAAATCAAGAAACCATATCAAACGAGTGAATTTTGAATGAATTTTGAACTGAAATTTTTTTAGATTAATACATATTGAATTGCATATCTAAATTTCTCATAATTTTTGGGAGTCAAAAATTATATTAACTGGTGCGTTCAAATCTGTCAAAAAAATTGGTTTAACAGTAACTTCGGAAGTGCCGTTCTCTTGGGTATAAATCTGAAAATTATCAAATCAGCGTCATTAGAACCGGTTACGGTCTAGTTTCGTACTTTTGGCCTGCATTGATTGCTCATGTATACTAAAAACCATTAATTCTTTAAAGTCTCAGAAACAACCGGTTTAGAATAATAAATGTAGATAAATTATTTTTGATAGAAAATTAGAAACCAATTGGGTTGAAACTTAGGATATATTATGATATCTGGAGGATTTTGGAAATTTTCAAACAGTGTAGGAGGGTTTGTGTAATTTTCAAAGTTAGCGAAACGATTGGGAAACTGTTAAACCTCTATTTTATCTTAACTTACTTTTAGTTAAGTTCGATGAACCCACGTCTTGGTAATTTAGACCTTGAAGAACATTAACTTAGGTATTATTAAGAGTAACGGTGATGGGTTGAAGCTATGTTAGTCGCGCTTTAGTGTGAGGTACTGTAGTTTATTATTCTCCTTATATTTTTAAATTTTAGTGACGTGTAGTCTTCATACTTGGTTCAGGCCTAGTTGGACTTCATACTCTATTCGAAGATTATATTATTTCGTTTTCAGGTGAGTAGTTGCATGCTACATATTTTTTAATTTTCCCTACCCTGAACTGTTGAAAATTAAATTGTTGTTTCAGGACTAACTGTTTTGATAAACTATCATATTATCAATGAAAATTAAAATATTTCTGAAACACAGTGAACTGGCATACTGTAAACTATTTGTTATGGTCTCATGTTTATAATGGGAACTACCATGTTTGCAAACTGAATTGTATTATTATTAGGACCATTTATGTATTTTGGTCCAGGGAATATATTCCATTCACTGTGTGTGGTGACTCTGGCCACTAGGGACATATCCAGGTGGTCATATGACTCTAGTGCTCAACGAGAGTAAGGAAAAACCTAGGCATGTGACTTCAATCGGATCGTCTAAGAAAAGACCCGGGTTGCCACCCCTGAGGATGACTCTTGTTCGATATTGGATCCAACGAGCTTATGCCATGAGGAACTGTGTGGCATGTTACTTGTTATTTCTTGGTACCTAGAAAATTATTGGTGTTCATGTTATAATCTGTTTTAAGTGGAAAATGTCATTTATCATGTTCTTGAGAGACATGAGTATTTTAACTGTTGAACTGTGGAACCTTCTTTTTGAAACAAATTATCTTTATCAAAATTGTATGTCAATCTAATTTCTGTGATATATATCTTATTTTGGAATTGAACCCTATTTTCAAAACTGTATTTACTATCCATGTTGCTACTCACTGAGCTATCAGCTGACTTAGTTGTTTATCACTTCTAGGTATTAGAAGGACTTAGACTGGACTTATGGCATAGCGGGGACTCAATTGCATGGACCTCTAGGACATTCATTTATTTTGTTTTAGCTTGTTATGTCGGGTTTTGTGCATACATTGTAGTTGGATTTTTATTTAGAATTATTTTATTTTGTGGGCGATTTGTGTTCCATTTAGTATATATTTTTGGAAGTTGGTTATGATTGGTTTTACCATTTATCCTTGTGACTTGTCATTGGATTGGGTTTTGATTTATTTATTTATAGGCAATCATCACATTTATTCTTTATGTTTTTGGGTTCATGTTTAGGCTTACGTGTGCCTTGGGTTGAGTCCCTGTGGGCCACGGCCGGTCATGCCCTGATTTGTGGTGTGACAGTGGAAGTATGTGTGTTGGGAGTACAATGCTCTCATTTTGTTGTGACTCTGTGTGTAAGCCAAGGGTTATGTTTGTGTGGGTTTGAATAACCGTTTTGTGTAACCAGGCTCAAGCCTTGGAAACTTGTAAATCCTTGGGGGTATTTATTTAGTTATTTACTTGTTGTTGGATTAATGTATTGTTGCATGAAGAACTATTGTATCATGTAATGTAAGTTTGGAGATTTATATTCAATTTTCCTTGAAAGAGCCATGATTGTTGTATTATCATTTGGGCTAGAAATTTGGGGCATTACAGACACCTTACTTCAAAATGGCTTTGTCAAAACTGAACATATGCATATCAGTGTCGAGGAATCGCTTGGCATTTTTTTGTACACTTTCGCACAAAATGACCGGCATAGACTACTAGCCAATAGATTTCAACACTCCACTGAAACTATTTGTCGGTACATCAAAATCATTATGCGGGCACTGTGCAAGCTTGCATCAACAGTTATCAAACCACGTAACCAAGACGAGATACCGGCAAAAATTTTAAATCATATGAGGTTTTTTCCGTGGTTCAAGGTATGGCTACATGTTTGTCTTGTAAGTTTTCAATAATAGTAACAAATTAAATTTTTTTTTTAATGTTTTACAAGTAATATCTAGGTTGTTTCGCGTTTAATGTCAAACTAATATATTTCAACTAGGATTGCGTCAGTGCTATCGATGGCACATTGGTGGATGTGTCGGTCCCAGCCTCAAGACAGAATACATTCTGTGGTCACAAAGCTATGGTATCGCAAAATGTACTCGCAGCTTGCGACTTCGACATATGTTTGACATTTATCAATTGTGGATGGGAAGGTAGTGCCCACGACAACGCAATTTTAGTTGACTCAATTACAAGAGCTAATCTATATTTCTCACACCCACCCCATGGTGAGTGTCACCAAATAACACTCTGCTCTGTCTTAAATGTTGATTTTTGTGTACATGTATTTGACAGAGCATTGCCTACATTATTTACATGTAGGCAAGTATTATTTAGTGGATGTCGGCTTCACGAACATGCCTACATTTCGTACCCTATTTCGTTCCCAACGCTATCACTTGCAAGAGTTTCATGGCCATCATTATTTTGGACCCAAGGAATTGTTTAACCACCGACATTCGTCGTTACGCAATGTCATAGAAAGAACATTTGGTGTTCAGAAGTAGCACTTTCCAATATTGCGGTCCATGCCAAATTACAAGTCCACAAGACAAGGACCCTTCGTGATTGCATGTTGTGTAGTGCACAATTGGATCCGTTTGCATGTAGCTATGGACCCATTCTTCATGGAAGTTGATAATGAAATTGTGGCTGAAGCGGTAGTAGACAAGTTTGTTGGAGGCCAAGCTGTCTATGTTGACATGTCACAACATGGGTTGACGTACCAATCGAACTTTAGGGATGCAATTGCTACTGCTATGTGGCAAAATCATGTTGGCCATGGGCAGATTTGTGATGTAAAGAAATAATGTGAATTTCGTAGTATTGTATGTGTCACGCCCTCAAAATAATAACATTAAACCCATCAATATAAACATACATTTATATACAAAAGATCCACATTCCCTCAATTAATCAGAGTACTTCATTACAAAAGTATTACACGTTAACAACAAAAGTAAATGCCCTACGGGCTTACAGCTTTCCAAGTTATCACTTGGTTACAAAAGAGAGTATTAACTCGGTTACACATTAAGCCCTTGGCTTGAATTTACATGTAATACATCAAAAGGAAAATAAGGCAACAAAAGTATGTCTTGCCCCTAGCCTCCCAAGCTATGTCCTTAGAGGTGGCATGCTACCTGTACCTGAAAATGATGTTCCCATATAGGGTGAGCCACAGCCCAGCAGAGATATACTAAACCAACTATGAACAATGATTAAAAGATTAGTAACTGATAGATGGTCGATACATACACTTCCATTTACATCTTATTTCAATTCCATGACAACCAAACCTATGTTACAATTCACTTTTCATTTCTTATTCACTTTGAGCTTGAAAACAGGGTTCAGTACTCTGGCCAAAACATTTTGATGAGATTATAGTTCATCACTAGAACATTTTCAAAATTCACGGTGGATACACATTTTGGTGTTGTATCAATAACACATAAACTACTTCCATACTTCACAAACGATGATGATATACATTTTAGTGCTATATCAAATCAAACAGACTTTTCAATAGATAAGCATATGAGCTACATCACTACTACAACAGATAAGCATATGAGCTATAACAACATTCCAATAGATAAGCATGTTACACATCAACAGATAAGCATATAAGCTGTATCCACACTTCACTAGACAAGCATATGAGCTGTATCTACACTTCACTAGACAAGCATATGAGCTGTATCTACGGAGTTCATCCCCCATCTCCTCCCAATCCTATCCGGTTTAGAGGTACATCCCCCATCTTCCCCTAAACCGCGGAGTACATCCCCCATCTCCTCCTCTACACAATGCATATAAACACAAAGGTTCTATACACAATATAACGCATGCAAAAACAGAATCACATACGCAATCAATCAATACATAAAGTTAATGCATTCTACCAACCGTCTACACATAATGCATATAAACACATTAGTCATATACGCAATCACTCAATACATACAATTAATGTATTCTACCAACCGTCTACACATAATGCATATAAACACATTGGTCATATACACAATCACTCAATACATAAAAAGTTCTACAAACTGGTTTTCTTGGTAATTTAAGCTTTTCAAAACATCTGGCTATATCTTCTTCGTTTACCTGAGATTGGGGTCTATTAGTTTGTCCTTCTACTCTTTTTCCTTTTTGAAGTATTATTCTTTCTAAAGAAGCTAAACGATTTTCTAAGCTATGTAGTTGTTCTGATAGGTATTCAAATTTTTCACACAATCTGATTAGAAATAAAATGTATACATTTGCTCACAAGTCCTATACTTTTGCATACGCTTCCTTAATCAAACTTGATCACCTTTGAGCTGAGCTCCTTAGAAGCCTTGTTGGAGCTTTAGAATGTTTTTGACTTGAATGTGTGCCTAAAATTGTCCCTTGCTTCAAGAGGTATAACACTCCCCTTTTACATACTTGTTTTTCCATCTCTTTCAACTATTTTTGGGAGGATTTTGAACTGTAAAAAACTCTGTTTTTGTGGCCTAAAGGTGGTGGTTTGAGGCCATTTTCAGTTAGGGGATGGGTCACCCTTCTTACTTCTTTGCTTGTAAAGCTTTTGTACATTTGTTCGCCACTTTCAAGCCAACCTTTTTGGGTCTTTTAACAACTGAATTTTAGAGGTTTTTTAGTGGCAAAAAACTCATTCTGAAGTCTAAATTTGGAGGGGTTAGCCTCCCTTTTCTTCCCTAATCTCTCTCTCTCACGAGATTTTCTTGAAATGGGTATAAGTCAATGTTCAAGAAGCATAGACACTTATATAAAATGTGAATAAGGACAAAATCCAATCGTTTAATCATTCCGAAATTGAAATTTCGTAAACATGCTTAATATTACTTAAAAATTATGCTGATCACATATATATAATCAATTTCAGATAATTAAGCCTTTAAGGCTTCCAATTTCTGATTCAGACATTCTAAATGTAACAGATACTTTTCTTGTTAAACAGATATACATTCATAAACATTGGATTCACTTAATTAACTTAATTTAACATGGAAGTTCACAATAAGCATTTAAATGCACAGGACAAGGGACTGAAAATATATCAGAAAACATGTACGAGGGTCGGGTTATTAAACGAACGAGATGGTTTTAATATGTTATGTTTTCAAAAGTTTTGGAAAATAATGAAGCGTGAGTTTATAAACTTTGTGAAGGAATTTCATAGGAATGGGAGATTGGTGAAGGGGATCAATAGCTCATTTATAACTCTTATCCCCAAAAAGGAAAACCCATGAGAGCTTTCTGATTATAGGCCTATAAGTTAGGTAGGGTCAATTTATAAGATCTTAGCCAAATTATTGGCTAATAGGTTGAAAGAAGTATTGCCTCACATAATCAGCGAAACACAGTCAGCATTTTTAAGCCGAAGGAACATACTAGATGGTGTGTTAATTGCAAATGAGGTGGTTGATGGTTGGAAGGCAGCAAAGAAGAAGGGGTTGGTTTTAAAATTATATTTTGAAAAGGCGCATGACTCCATTAATTGGGGCTACTTATTCTCAATGTTACCTAAGTTTGGGTTCGGATCTAAATGGACCAGTTGGATCAAGGAGTGTGTTTCAACTGCAAGGCTATCAGTGCTTGTTAATGGATCACCAATCGAAGAATTCAGCCCACAAAAAGGCTTAAGGCAAGGGGACCCTTTGTCCCACCCCCTTTAACACACAAATGATACACATCTTAGTGTTGTATCAATATCGAACCAAACATCATACATACATAATGTATAAAAGCCAATCATTCACAATGATCAATCAATACATATATTAGATGTATTATTCCAACCGTCAGATTCTACGACAAAACATGTTCGATTAGTTTCAGTTTTCCCTAATCAACATACAAAATTTATAACCAACGAGACTAAACTCAAGGTGACCAATGCCAACCCAAAACCCGTTACCGACAAGCTGACTAATCAACTCAAAAAAACTCTACACTCAGTAATCCACACACTGATGTGCCACTCTAGCCACTGACCCCAACCACGGAGTTCTCTACACAAACCACAAATTTTGGAACCTCTCCGGATCTCCTAAAACTGAACCGCATCAACACTACGTCTAAGGGAATCACCATTCCCCGCCATGGCTATCTAGCAAGCCTGCTCACTTCCTTGACCAAAGACCGACATGGTCAACCTCAATCACAACAACCCGAATACGAAGGACCACCTTGACCACACTATACTCATTACTTTAGAACATAAACTGCCCTTCCTTCAAAGAATGCTACCAGCATCCACTCACAACCCAAACCCAACAATTGATAACCAATCACAACTCAAACGCTACCCCTATACAACCAATGGGGTCACCACGGACTCACTGACTAGCAAGACCCAAAATACGAACCAACCTACAGGTACCATTTCCACTAACTCGAGATACAAATCTCACATAGTCTTGCCAACACCGCGCAATTCTCGCAACCATCACATCTAACCATCACATCAAATCTCCACATCTTGCCTGCCACCCATCCCGAGAGTACCCTCTAGAGACCCAGCCTCCGTGCTAAACCACTAGTCAAAACTACCGCTAGGCAACCATCATGAACCAAACCCCGACACCACTACAGGTTGCCGACAAGGCTTTCAAGGATTCACTCTTCTAACTATCCAGCAGAGTAAAGGTTCTCACTCTCCTTGCCATTAACCCACATCTCCATCCGCAAACACCATACCACTGTGACTCCATCCACGGATCACACCCCAACCACGGACTGTACACCCAATCAACCCTTACGATGGCATCTCCCGACCTAACCAGTGTTAAGGTACAAACCTATCACGTTCGATCAAAATAAAGGAGCCCCAAAACTTAAGAAATACCCATATACTACTGCCCGAGATATAGCACCAACTGCTTACAATACAACACTCCCTGACACAACAATCACGACCTTATATAGGGGCTAACATCCCCTCACTTAAAACGGCCAATCAGTACACCTGTAATCTCGGCAACGCTACTTACCACGAAGGTACAAGTCCAACCTTAACAAAATTATACGCTATGCCCCCGTAGGACACCATATCAAATACGTGCTACATCTAGTACTAATCGCATACTTCACATCCTCTCCAATATTGCCTTGGCTAGGACACGCACCCCTCGGTGGTTCTTTCAAATTTGAAAACATGGCTCCTCAGCCCTCATCTTTCCCAATCAAGTCACACGCCTAATACCAAAAAAAATTTTTTGTGGTTTTACAGCAACTTTATACATTAATAAAACTTCAGAGCTACAACATGCTCCAATTCACCCATTCCAGGGAAATTAACAAACAAAGCACATATGTATACATATAAACAAACAAACAGTTTAGATGTTTCAACATTCCCAAAACACATTGGTTACACAACGGAACCCAATGATCACAAACGATAATTCACCGATTACAAAACGGATTAGCCAAAACGAAACCAACCCCTCGGTATTACCACCACTGCCGTCCCTCGCTGGACAGCCAAAATTGGTCATCTCCAAACACAAGACAACCTACGAGTTTACTAACCACGGACAAGAACTACCGACGTGCCCCCTCTGTCCACACCTGGAACAACTACGAACTTCCCCAACTGGGGCTTGGGAACTCGACTCTACTGAGGCCCTCGCAATCTTGCCTGCTAGTCCCCCAAAACGATACTGTTCCTGCTCAGTTGAATGAAATTGAGCCTGGCTAGGTTGCAAAACCCCTAAAGAATCCCCCGGCTGAGTACAGAAACGCCGAATATGACCCGGCTGTTTACACAGAATAAATTGTTAAGTTTTGAACAATTGAAATTGCATGACATCATTGAGCATGATGGTTTTCAAAAGATGAAAATGTTATTTATCTTCAAAAAGGGCATAGCATGGCATGTGCATTTCATCTTTTGAGACTTGTATAAAATGTATATACTTTGTTAAGAATTTCCTATTGGGCTTTATGCTCACCCTACGAGATTTTTGTGTACGAAAAGATGTGGTGATCCCACCCAACTAGGGGCGTGGATGTGAGAACCCGAATATAAAAATTAAGTAAATAATTAAATAATAATAATATTACAATCTCAAATATTTTGGTGGTGAATCCTAAAGTGCAAATTAAATATTTGGAAGGCCTTTTAATTAATTTTAAAACCTAAAATACATTTATGGTGAAAGTCTTTAATTTAGAAGCAAGATTTATTATTTTAAAAAAATAGGGGGCAAATTAGTAAGCATATTTTGATCTAATAATAGTTGTGTTTTATTTAAATTAATGGAGAGAAAATAAAATAATATAAAGAGATAATAATTTAAAACATTTTGTTTAGATATATAAAAAACAACCCTAGTTTTCCTAACAAAAGCCCTAACCTTTATTATAATTGTTTTCCACAGCACTTTCAACATATAGCAGCCACGGGAGGGAGGGAGAGAGAGAGAGAGAAGAAGAAAAAAAAACAAGAAGCTGCAATCAAAGAACTTTTGGGTGTGCGGTAGGTTTCTAGCTTTCTTCTTTATTTTATTTTTGTTCTTTATCCTTATTCTATTTTATGAGTTAATTCATTGATGGAGGGGTTGTAGGTTTATGTATTTTGTATATATATATATACTATTAAGAAATCTGAGGAGTTAAATTCATGTATAAAGAATGGTGCAATTCTTAGTCCAAAAATTCTGTACAGAATCACAAACTTTAAAAATCAAGAAACCATATCAAACGAGTGAATTTTGAATGAATTTTGAACTGAAATTTTTACATTAGATTAATTACATATTGAATTGCATATCTAAATTTTCTCATAATTTTTGGGAGTCAAAATTTATATTAACTGGTGCGTTCAAATCTGTCCAAAAAATTGGTTTAAAACAGTAACTTCGGAAGTGCCGTTCTCTTTGGGTATAAATCTGAAAATTATCAAATCAGCGTCATTAGAACCGGTTACGAGTCTAGTTTCGTACCTTTTGGCCTTGCATTGATTGCTCATGTATACTAAGAGAACCATTAATTTCTTTAAAGTGCTGCAGAAAACAACCTGTTTAGATATAATTAATTGTAGATAATTATTTTGATAAGAAAATCTAGTAAAACCAATTGGGTTTGAAACTTAGGATATATTAGTTGATATCTGGAGGATTTTGGAAATTTTCAAACAGTGTAGAGTGGGTTTTGTAATTTTCAAAGTTAGCGAATAGATTGGGAAAACTTGTTTAAAACTCTATTTTATCTTAAACTTACTTTTAGTTAAGTTTCGATTGGAACCCACGTCTTGGGTAATTTTAGACCTTGAAGAACATTAACTTAGGTATTATTTAAGAGTAACGGTGAGTGGGGTTGAGCTATGTTAGTGCGCTTTAGTGTGGGGTACTTAGTTTATTATTCTCTTTAGTATTTTTAAATTAGTAGTGACGTGTAGTCTTCATACTTGGTTCAGGGCACTAGTTGGACTTTCATACTCTATTCGAAGATTATATTATTTCGTTTTCAGGTGAGTAGTTGCATGCTACATATTTTTTTAATTGTTCCCCTACCCTGAACTGTTGGAAAATTAAATTGTTGTTTCAGGACTAAGCTGTTTTGATAAATTATTATATTATCAATGAAATTAAATTATTTCTGAAACACAGGTGAACTTGGCATACTGTAAACTATTTGTTATGGTCTCATGTTTATAATGGTGAACTACCATGTTTTGCAAAACTGAATTGTATTGATTATTAGGACCATTTATGTATTTTGGTCCAGGGAAATTATTCCACTGTGTGTGGTGACTCTGGCCACTAGGGAACATATCCAGGCTGGGTCATGATGACTCTAGTGCTCAACGAGAGTAAGGAAAAGACCTAGGCTAGGTGACCTTCAATCGGATCGTCTTAGAGAAAAGACCCGGGTTGCCACCCTGAGGATGACTCTTGGTTCGATATTGGATCCAACGAGCTTATTGCCTTGAGAACTGTGTGGCATGTTACTTGTTATTTTTGGTACCCAAAAAATAATTGGTGTTCATGTTGTAATCTGTTTTAAGTGGAAAATGTCATTTATCATGTTCTTGAGAGACATGAGTATTTTAACTGTTGAATTGTAGAACCTTCTTTTTGAAACAAATTGTCTTTACCAAACTGTATGCCAATCTAGTTTCTGTGATATATATCTTATTTTGGAATTGAACCCTGTTTTCAAAACTGTATTTACTATCCATGTTGCTACTAACTGAGCTATCAGCTGACTTAGTTGTTTATCATTTCCAAGTGTTAGAAGGAGAGTGGACTTATGGAATAGCGGGGACTCAATTGCATGGACCTCTAGGACATTCATTTATTTTGTTTTAGCTTGTTATGTCGGGTTTTGTGCATACATTGTAGTTGGATTTTTATTTAGAATTATTTTATTTTGTGGGCGATTTGTGTTCCATTTAGTATATATTTTTGGAAGTTGGTTATGATTGGTTTTACCATTTATCCTTGTGACTTGTCATTGGATTGGGTTTTGATTTATTTATTTATAGGCAATCATCACATTTATTCTTTATGTTTTTGGGTTCATGTTTAGGCTTACGTGTGCCTTGGGTTGAGTCCCTGTGGGCCACGGCCGGTCATGCCCTGATTTGTGGTGCGACAGTGGAAGTATGTGTGTTGGGAGTACAATGCTCTCATTTTGCTGTGACTCTGTGTGTAAGCCAAGGGTTATGTTTGTGTGGGTTTGAATAACCATTTTGTGTAACCAAGCTCAAGCCTTGGAAACTTGTAAACCCTTGGGGGTATTTATTTAGTTATTTACTTGTTGTTGGATTAATGTATTGTTGCATGAAGAACTATTGTACCATGTAATGTAAGTTTGGAGATTTATATTCAATTTTCCTTGAAAGAGCCATGATTGTTGTATTATCATTTGGGCTAGAAATTTGGGGCATTACAGACACCTTACTTCAAAATGGCTTTGTCGAAACTGAACATATGCATATCAGTGTCAAGGAATCGCTTGGCATTTTTTTGTACACTTTCACACAAAATGACCGGCATAGACTACTAGCCGATAGATTTCAACACTCCACTGAAACTATTTGTCGGTACATCAAAATCATTATGCGGGCACTGTGCAAGCTTGCATCAACGGTTATCAAACCACGTAACCAAGACGAGATACCGGCAAAAACTTTAAATCATATGAGGTTTTTTTCGTGGTTCAAGGTATGGCTACATGTTTGTCTTGTAAGTTTTCAATAATAGTAACGAATTAATTTTTTTTTTTTAATGTTTTACAAGTAATATCTAGGTTCTTTCGCGTTTAATGTCAAACTAATATATTTCAAGTAGGATTGCGTCAGTGTTATCGATGGCACATTGGTAGATGTGTCGGTCCCAGCCTCAAGACAGAATACATTCTGTGGTCACAAAGCTATGGTATTGCAAAATGTACTCGCAGCTTGCGACTTCGACATATGTTTCACATTTATCAATTCTGGATGGGAAGGTAGCGCCCACGACAACGCAATTTTAGTTGACTCAATTACAAGAGCTGATCTATATTTCTCACACCCACCCCATGGTGAGTGTCACCAATTAAATGTTGATTTTTGTGTACATGTATTTGACAGAGCATTGCCTACATTATTTACATGTAGGCAAGTATTATTTAGTGGATGTCGACTTCACGAACATGCCTAGATTTCTTACCCTATTTCGTTCCCAACGCTATCACTTGCAAGAGTTTCATGGCCATCATTATTTTGGACCCAAGGAATTGTTTAACCACCGACATTCGTCGTTACGCAATGTCATAGAAAGAACATTTGGTGTTCTGAAGAAGCGCTTTCCAATATTGCGGTCCATGCCAAATTACAAGTCCACAAGACAAGGACCCTTCGTGATTGCATGTTGTGTAGTGCACAATCAGATCCGTTTGCATGTAGCTATGGACCCATTCTTCATGGAAGCTGATAATGAAATGGTGGCTGAAGCGGTAGTAGACAGGTTTTTTGGAGGCCAAGCTGTCTATGTTGACATGTCACAACATGGGTTGACGTACCAATCAAACTTCAGGGATGCAATTGCTACTGCTATGTAGCAAAATCATGTTGGCCATGGGTAGATTTGTGATGTGAAGAAATAATGTGAATTTCGTAGTATTGTATGTATTATTACATTTAATTTTTTTTAATGTGTAAAACATTTGAAATTATTAAAAAAATTACAAAAATATTAAAAAAGAATCAACCATAATTTTAAAAAAACAATATTAAAAAAATTTTGTTGTAAATTTTTTTAGTAAAACAAAAATATTTTAAAAAAAATTCAAAATTCATCTACCGCGTTGGTGTTCAAAAAGAAGCAACCATAATCGTACGTGGGATTGTATGTGAGAAAATCAATAGTTGGATAACTCTGCTCTTGTTGGCGTGGAAATAACAACCATTTTAAAATTCATGTACGCCGTTGGTGTTCTACAAAAGCAACCATAATTTTAAAAAACATCCCCAAAAAAGTTATTTTTGTTGTAACATATTATAATATTTCAGTAAAACAAATATAATAATAAAAAAAAAGCATTTTAACATTCATCTACCCTGTTGGTGTTCTGCAAAATGAACCATAATTTGTAAAAAAATATTACAAAAATTATTGTTGTAACATATTAAAATATTTCAGTAAAAAAAAAAAAAAAAAAAAAAAAAAAAAAAAAAACGATCTATCTATACTTCTTGTGCCCTAGTCTATCTATACTTTCACGAAGCAACACCAAGAAGTCACAGAGGCTTCTTGATTTCACAAGCTATAGCCCACCGGTGTATCGACTAGTGTATCAACGGTTCATCCTCCATCGGTGTATCGACCGATGCATTAACGGTTCTTGATTTCAGGTCAGTTTGCTCTCTCTCTCGCGTCACTTTCATCATGTAACGACATACCAACCAAATCCATAAATTAATAATCTATATATTTCATCCTCCATCAATGTTTCTCATGTATGCTTCAAAATAAACCCAACCCGGAATTCATACAACTCCCAATCTTCTAGGGACCACAAAAACCCTAAATTTTTGCTATGATTTCATGTTAAAATCTTGGGTTTTCTTTGGTTTTTGAGTTCCTTTTACCATAATCAATGGCTTCTAAACCAGTTCCAAAAATTTTAATCATCTTCACGTTGACCTATACACTAACAGGCACATATTCTCTTCCTTTTGCCATCTTTCATGGTGATTTTCTCATCATTCTATATGATCTCCTTGATTATTCATGCCCACAATATGCTCTGTTTACTTTAATTAACAATTCATTATTGAGAATTGGAATGTGAAGATCATAGTGTGATGATTAAGTTTTATTGTTACTAAGTTGGTGTTGGACTGTTACAATTGGGTTGGCTTAGATGTGGGTTTGTTGGATTTTGTATATTAGTTGTTAAATCTCCCTTGTTAGATCATTAGCATTAATACAAACACATAAATGCTTTCAAGCCACTATTATGATTTATATGGTCGTGTTTTGTGTTTTGTGTAGTGATTTCTGTTACTATAATTAACAATTCAGTATTGGGAATTGGAATGTGAAGATCATGGTGTGATGATTAAGTGTTATTGTTACTAAGTTGTTGTCGGAATGTTACAATTTGGTTGGTTTAAATGTGGGTTTTTGAATTTTTGTATTTTAGTTGTTGATGCTACACACATGAGTGTCCTGTATGTGTTTGATAAAATGCCTGGCATGGCATTGTCATTGGGGTCTTCGGGATCATCAGTTATTGGTGCATTTGCAACATTAATAGATCCCAATAAGTTGTCAGCGCCACCAGCTCGAGTCAGTGTATACTTTGAAATTGGTGAAGAGATTTTCACATTTACTTCATCTACAAGGCTGACATGATGAGCTTTGAAAATTTTGGTTAGCAAAGCTCCAAAAGATAATGACCGGCCATTATGAGTACCAAGATTTGCAACCACCATTTCCTTTAGTAGTATGTAGCGTAAATATAATGTTTGTCCAACTTCACAACAATATAACAAATAAACATTATAAAATGGAACAACTTCAAAATGTCCTTTTTTGGGAGTGACATTTTCAACTATCCATTGATGAAGAATACGAAGGTGGGGTTTTAAATGTCGTGCTTGTAAATTAGTGCCAGTAAATCGGTTCTCACAAATTGTAGTATAAACCTCACTTACATCACCAACCATATTAACTAAGCCAGCCTCACTTTGAAAATGACTTTGCAAATCCCCTGACTGAACTCCAATAATTTGTGCTAAAGTGTGGGGGTTTAGTGTGATTAGTTTACTTTTCACGTAAGATGTCAAATTGTTCTCTCCAATTGCTCCCTCAGTAGGTCATAAGTGCAGGTAAAATAAATGCACAAGACGTGGATATACCTTTTGTAGTAAATTCGTTAAAGGCAGCCATCCCATCGTCTCCAATCTGCCAACCAACATAGGATCATATTGAGAAGGTAGATTTACCTTTCTCCCGATAACAATTGGTCGGTTGGCAAAATTTGGATAAGTTTGTTAATGATTATACGTAAGAAAATCAATAGTTGGATAAGTCTGCTCTTGTTGGCGTGGTGGAGGGTTAGAGGTTTGGCCACGTTCTGGTCTGGCTATTTTTATTCTCGGCATGACTTATGAATGTAAGCAAAAGGATAGCAAAAGGTAACAAAAATGTATGAAAATGGTGTGCAAAAGGTAAGCAACAGAAAGCCAAAGCTTAGCCTCGGGTTCAGACTTGCTGGAAGCTGGAACAGACGAGGCCGGTTGACCTACCAGATGACCCACCGATTGACCGCCAGGTCGACCTGTTTGCTGCACTGTTCGACTTATTTCTACAGCTCTGAAATTGTGAACAGATCTAAAGGAACCTTTGATCAAAGCTCTTGGTCTCTTGTTTTACACGGATATGAATTATAAAATTATAGACTGAATTTTTGAAACTAATTGATTGTGAAATTAATTGAGGTAGGTGGTGGAGGAGGTGGTTGTATGGTTCGGGTATTGACACTATTGTGATACTACTTGAATAATAAATGTCAATGAAAATGGTGAAGAAGTAGGTGAAAGTTGTAAAGTAACGAAGTTGTTGGAATGAAGATGGTGTTGCTAAAAGTTATAAAGTGAAATTGTTAGTTAGGAGAGTGATATAAAGAGCTTCGGTCAAACAAATGATAAAAAACATACTATTGAGTTTTAGTTTTTTTTTTTTTTTTTAAAAAAAAAAAAAAAAAAACTTTGATCCAAAGCTGACTAACTATTTTGGCTTTTTTTTTTTTGCCTTCTTTTATCAAAGCTGACCAACTAAGGTTTTGCAGAGGGCTGATGGCTCTGCAGAATATGAGTTAAATTACCATGATGTCCTTTTTATTTTTTTTCTAACATATGAATTTAATATTCAATGAAAGAGGGATAATGTGGTAGTTTCAATGTCAAACCAATCACACACTAACATTATTGATGGTACTTCCACTTCACGGGTCTCTTTTTCACGAGTGCAATTGACAGTGAAATGGATAGGAGAGTACAATAATTAAGGTGAAAATAATGGTATAAGTTTACGGATTTTTTTTATAAAAGTGATAAGATTTAACAAATGAAAAAATGTTTAGGTAGTGTTTGGTAAAGTTTATATTTTTAGTTTTTATTTACAAAAATTTTATTAATTATTTCTTTTTATTTTTTAAAAAATAAAAATTACAAACACGTTTGGTTTGAACATAATATTTATTGTCTCAATTTAATACACATAAACAAAAAAAAATGTCCATTCAGGTCTAAATTATTTATATTTATTATTTTATGACAATGGGATCATACACATTATAATTGAAAAAAAAATTACAAAAAAATTGTGAAAAATTTAATTTAAAAAAAATTATTGCAATAAAAATTATTTCAAAAAAAATTATTTGGAAAAAAAATTAATTGAGGCAAAAAATAATTTAAAAAAAATTATTTGAAAAACAAATTATTTGAAAAAACAAATTAATTGAAAATAAAAATTACTAACTCATTTTCTGAATTGAATTTTAAAAAGAGTTTGGTTATGAATGTTGATCAAAAATTTCAATTAAGCTTTGAGTTGTGTGTTTGATCATAATTTATAACTTTTTGAATTAAGTTTTGAAAACTCAAAATAAAAAAAAAAAAAAACTCATAACCAACAAATTTTCTTACTTCACATGTCACATCAAACTTTCAAAACTCAATTCAACACTCTATTCAAAACCATAACCAAATAGATTTTCTACACTCAAATCATAATTCCAAAACTCACAAACTCAAAATACAACCCCTACTCTCAAATTATATTTAGAAAACTCTACCAAACGCTACCTCAGATTCTTCCATTAGCCTCTCTTACTTTCATGCTCCCCTTTGGATATTCTGGAGAGTTCCGTAGGGGCATGACAGGTTCCTAACTTGCTACACATGCATAGTAAGGGATAACAGACAACAATCAATCAAATTAAACTTTGCAAACATTAAAAAAATAGAATCCAAGAATTATTTGGACCAACTTAACAACCTCCATTCTTTGAATTGTAACTTTTTAGAACATTACCAAATTGGCCCTAAAATTCATTTGTTTGCTTGGAGGAAAAAAAAATTCTAGCCTTTTAAGAGTTCAAAAAGAAGACTTGCCATTCAGGAATGCGCATGCAGCACACACAAGAAAGGGGAAGGTGAAGGGGGTTTGGAACAAAGAGCAACTAATTATTTACGTGCCCTTAAAAGTTCTAGAGAACATATAACAATAGCGGTTTGTCACGGCCTTGGTAATTTCCAAGCACTCTGTGCGGCACTTAGACAATCTCAAGCCTCACTTGATGATGCTAAGTTAGCCTAACTCACAAATTTAGAAGAAAGACAAGTAAGAAGACAATGAGAGTTTGAGAGAATGCCTTTTATATTTCACTTTGAGAATGCTTTACAATTCTTGAATCGATTAGAGCAAATGAGCTCCTCTCCTATTTATAGGCTCCCTAGGAGCATTCTAGAACTCTCAAGAAAATGTCATGTAGAGGCTTCCCATGGAAGTCTTCTTTACAAGTTACAAGAATGTTCTAGAATGCCC